AAAACACCTTAATTTTTTTTTTTTTTTTCCTTTGTCTGGTAACCCCCCCCCCCCCCAACCCCAAGTATAACTTATGTCAGATTATTTTACTTGAAGGGTAAATATTAGAAATCACTTTCTAGGTGTTGATAAAGCCTGATTTTCAGCTTACATATTGTGGGTATTACAAGGCTGCAGGTAAGAGCACAAGGCTGAAAAAAAAAAAAAGTACAATCTTCACCAAATGAAATAACAAATTATGGCTGACATACAACAATAACACTGTTTACACAAAAGGCACTTCTTAAGAAAGATATGATTGGAGACATTTTGGTTGGACTAGCTTCACCTAGAAGAACCAGGAAACGTTTTCCTCTCGAGTACGACCCACAACAAACATTCCTCGACATCGGGTCTCGACTGAACACGACGAGAAAGACTTGGCAAAACTCTAATAAATAGTCCGCTAGAGTCCGATTATGGAGGATTGTTCTGCAAATGTCTTTGAGGCGGACTGAGCCGGACGTTTTCGGGACCGCCTCCCGGTCTCACTCCTGCAGTCGAGTAAGGAAACGGGTTCTGGAGGACTAGTCTCACCTTTGCCGCAGTCGCCTTCCGACCGAACTGGTCTGACCTTCAGCGCCGGCACAGCAGGGAGGGTTGGAGGAGAAGCATCCTCATTGTGCTTGGTTAACGATACCTGCCTGCTGAAAGTGGCTGCTAAGGAGGACCTCCATAAATAAATAAATTATTCAGCCAAAACAAGAGCTCTGCCCCGTTCCTCCCTTTTTTGTCCTTTTTTTTTTTTTTTTTTGTGTGTATGTGTGATTTGCAACCTTTCAGGGGTTGAGAGGGACCACTGGGACACAGGGACAAGTGTTATAAAGGGAAGGGGGAGTATAAGTGGCAGGTGAGTGGTTTAGGGTCTCTTCCACCCGCTCCGGATCAAGGCATCCACTCGCAGGAAGGGCTGGTTTCGGAGATCTGTGAGTAGGTGAGGAAAGAGGGGTGAGAGACAGGGAGGAGACGCACACGTTAGACGACTTGGAGGTCAACCCTAAAAAAAGGTTCGCTTCTGCGTTTTCAAGCAGCAACAAATGCAAAAAGACGAACTCAGTTTCCATTTTGTTGAATTAACCTTGAGGAACGGTTTGCTCTCTGACATTTGGTCGAGTTCAGCTTGTGGTGCAACCCTACAGAAAGCCGTCCTTCATAATTATCATGAAGATGAAATAACTGTTACTTTAATGATTAGAGAATTATTAGCTGCTGCGCTCATTTCGCTCAGGTGTTTTCAATAAAATGGCAGCTGAGTCTTTACATCATCAAAGTTCAGCAAAATACACACACATACACACACACAGTGCCTTGCAAAAGCATCCTTACCCCTTTTTTGCATTCTCAACCACAAACTTCAATGTACTGGGACATGAAAATAAATCAAGCGGAATAGCAATGATACACGTTTGTCAAAACGTGTTCACATCCCAGCAGAATGAGGCTGCCGCACTTTACGGTTGCTCTAATCCTGTCTTTTGCTCATTTTAAGAGCTTTTAGTCCAATAATTACTTAACTCCACCCCACCTGTCCAATAAAATCTGGAAAGTTGCTAATAAGTTACACAAATGACCCTGTAGAAAGCATACATACATCCAGCTGAACATTCAACATTAGCATTAGATACAGGCAGAGTGAGTGGAGATAACGAGTGGATGTTGAGGACTTCATTCATTTCCTATTTTCTGGCATTTCACTCAGACAGAAAAAGATCCTTTAGTAAGTAAATCAAAATGTTACTTCTTGTTTTCTCATTCAGCTCATCTTTGGTGCAAAGAGGCACAGTTGATAGTGTTGACACTTTCAAAGTATGAAACTATTTGTTGCATTTTTACACAGGCTGTAGGTTAACACTAGGATTTAATTAAAAAAAAAAAAAAAGAAAAAGAAAAGGATGCTTCAACTAGGACTTCCTTTAAGAAAAGATTCACAGTCCAGCAAGTCCGAGGCATACGATGGAGTATGAAAGCGAGACTGAGACGATTTTTTTTTTTCTAATTATGAGAATGAAGTCATAACATAACGAGAAAATAGTCATAATACTAGCAGAATAAAGACAGAAGGTAGTTGTAAAATAAGAAAATAGTTGTTTAATGAGAAAAAAGCTCCGACAACTATTTCAAAGTCCTGCTGCCAATTGTGACTTCATGACATGACAAAAGATGAAGTATTTCCTCATTTTTAAAATCGATACCAAAATAGAAACGTCGCGCGTTAAAATGCTCAACATTTGTCATTTTAAAAGCAGTGCTGCTACAAGGCTTCATTAAATTACAACTATATTCTTGCATTATTACAACTCGATGCTGGAAATATTATGATTTTATTCTCATAATATTACTCAATTCAGCTTATTAATATAGTGGCAATTGACAAAAACAAATCATGACTTTATTATCATAATATGAGGACTTTTATTTTATTTTTATTTTTTAATTGTGAGAATAGTCTGGCCCTAATCTCTGTCGTAAACCAGGAGTTTGAAAACATGATTACAAGAACCTCAGCACCAGCCTTCACAACACTGTGTCCATGAAAGTGGACTCCACCACTTCACTCACTGCTGAAACAATTGGTTTCTCTAGGGGGGGCTGAGTGCAAATGTACGCCACACTTTGTGGTTGTCAAATGGCAAAATGTGGAAAACTTCAAGGGGTATGAATACTTTTGTGAGGCACGACACCTGAATGAGAGCATAAACGATCCAACAAGTAGATGAAAGATTCCCATAACCTTGAATTTCATCAATACAACAAAAGACAAATTCAAGGCTTTGGGGATGCAGAAAGAGCAACACTTCAATGCTAACAATGCACTGCTTACGTTACGGTGATCAACAAGCTTTTTAGTTGGTCAACTAACTTAGAAAACAACGTTTAGGCCAATAGTCGTTTTTGACAAAAAAAACAAACAAAACTGTGTTATTAAATGAATGTGCATTTCTACTTCCCCATGCCTGCTGACCAAACAGCTGTTGAGCACGCTGCAGAGGACAGTTAGCAAAGACACACATGGCGGACATGGTAACACCAGACGACATGCAACACATTTTAGAGAGGGATGAGGATGACCTTCAGGCGACATTTATTAAACTTCACCTCTGACGGGGAGGAGGAAAGTCAGATTTTATGAGTCAGTTGAAAGTTAGGGCATATTATGTCTCGTTTATGCACCATTACCTGGCTTCAGCGTTAGCCGTCTTTTTTTTTTTTTTTACTTTTTTCCTGTGGGAAAATACGTTTTAGTGCTGCAAAGCTGTTTTTCTTTTTTGTTTGTTTGTGTGAAGCACTAGCTGAAGCAGCTGACATCACTTGTAGCAGCACACAGGCCTGAGGGCCAAGCGGGCCAGGTTTCAAGCCAGGCTACCTTCCTTACCCGCTCTTTAGGAGTGGGAAATACTGTCATTAATCTTCTTTTCAGCTGGAGGGAGGGTGGAATAAACAGCAGCGGTTGAAGAGGGGAAGGGGGGGCGGAAAAAGTCATACATTAGCCAGAAAACCAAACACCAAACAAGTTAGTCTCACTGGATAAAACTGGCGTTTTTAAGCCAAACCTCTTTCTATTCAGGATTACATGAAAGTGCCTTACAGAGCAATATATGCCATGCATGCTGTATGAATGCTTATTTGCATTACTGATTATAACATAAGTGTGTCAACAAGGTTTTTTTTTTTTTTTTGTTCGTTTATAAGAAAAAGAAACAATCAAAAAAAAACATGTCGACATTATTTTGCAGCTGCTTTTCTCAAATTCCAACCCAAGAGGTTTGGCTGCCTCCTATCACCAAACGCCTGATAGAAGCCATCTTGAAAGAAAAAAACAAAAAAACAAAAAACAAAACAAAACTCAAGCAACCGAAAGAAGACGGCCCAAGTTAGTTAACAAGGTTGTTGTTGTTGTTGTTGTTGTTGTTGTTGGAGGTGAGGGGGATAGGGATCATGCTTCATGCACAGTGGGGTTAAGAGTCATACGGGGAGACACCTGGACAACCTTGGCATTAGAGAGAGGGAGGGCTAGCAGTTGGCGTCGTCGCAGAGGTTGGCTTCACAGAAGAACCGTGAGCCACGTTTAGCAGTGCGGGCTGTGAAGGGCACGCTCTTCAGTACTGGGGGGAGGAGGGGCGGGAGGAGGAAGAGAAGAACACGTCACACCTGAGACACTGACACACTGCTGTTTGCCCTGGGGAACAAAACTGACTTCATATTATGTAGAAAATGAGTAAACCTGCAACAAAATGAAATCAACATTCTGGAATCCATTGCTTTAAAAAAAAATAAAATAAAAGCCTTATACTCTATGAGGGTAAAATGAGAAAAAAATAAATCTCAGATTTTAGTTGGGTTGGTCCTTATTGTGGCTCAATAGGCATGGGCTGGTGAGAGATTCTCACAGTGTGGAAGTTTTGTAAAAAGAAACAAAATACCACAGCATGGCCGTATTAAAGTTAAAGGTTTAATCAAAAACGTATGTGTCATACGCAATGCAACAATAACTTCTACTGTTGCTAAAATTTTATTGCTGTTTTTGTTAAACTTAAATATCTAGAATATTTCAGTTCTTTTGACTTAAAATATAACCAAATGCTTCGTTTTATAAGCAAAACAAGGCTTTTCTGTTTTAAAGGTTTGTCCTGCTGATTCCAGTGTAACCAATATCTTTTTTTTTTTCCCTAACTGGACTATGAAACAAAATTTGTAAATGTGCTGCAGGATTCTTTGATAGAAGAAATGGATTTGAATCAAACAACAACAAAAAAGATGCGATTACAAAACATTCTTATTTAGACGTCACATTATATGTCCCTGACTTTTACCAGATTTGTATTAAACAAAAATGAATTTATTGAAAAGGGAAAATGCGTCTTATGGATCACTGATCAGGGTCGATTGGTAGATAATAATTCCTGACCAATCAACTGGTGGCTCTTTAAGGAAAACTGTAGCTGAAATCTACCATCAGTGCACAGGAACAATGAGGAGGATGACCTACTCACTATATGCTTCATGCAACTGCAGAAAACTCAGATGACTATCACTTTCTCTGGCATGTAATTAAAAGGGATTGTAACCATAGCAACAGTTTAGTGGTTTTGAAATCCTTTTTAAACTTTTAAAACTCTGCTTTACGTCAATTGGCGGTAACCGACCCATGCCTACTGCCCAGTGATTAAAAGCCGTTACCGACATCGTAAAAGTTAATACTGATGCAACATTTAGATTATCGACATCTTAGAGCGTGATTATGGATTACAACAAAAATATCACTGAGCGTACACCGATGCTGCAGAAGCAGGGGCGGTGGGGAGCGGGTTTAAAGACTTTTGCACCAAATTGCCCATCTGACAGAAAAACACTCTAGTGCCGTAAATTTCCCAGCTGGCCAGACGCCTCGCTACGACGCAGCCGGTAACTGTTGCTATGCGCTGCTGTGCTCCAGATGTGCTGGTGTCTGCAGTATGTAGCACAAGGTGCACTTCAAAGGAGCTGAGCAGTCGATGACCACAGTCATCCTGAGCCTGGGAACACCGGGGCGGCTGCCGGCACCCACGTGGGGCCCTTTAATGGTTCTTTCTGGCCCACCTGTGATGATGTCCTCGATGGTGCCGTCTTTGCCCTCGTACACCGGTCGATGGTCTTTGGCTTGCCGCTTCCGCAGCTCTGCGATCAGCTCCTGCTGCTGGTGTCTCTTCTTTTGCGCCTGGACCTGCGTCAGCAGAGAGGATTTAGGCTTTTCTGACGGTTCTTTTTTTTTTTTTTTTTAGCACAGGGTAAACTTTGCAGAAGACTCATCCGGCTGAGCTTGGACTGTACCTTGGGGTCATGCTGTTTGGCCTCCTGAGCCAGTAACTTTTCTCTCATGGCTTCCTCTTGTTTTTTCTTCAGTTCGTTTTCTTCCACAGCATCCTGTTGAGATGGGGAAATATTGGAGGGGGGGGGAGGGGATGAACTCAAATAAATCCAAGTCAACAGATTTATGTGGCCCATTTTAGCACAAGTTCAGAATTCCAACATAAACAGGGAAGGGATGCGTCACATATCTTTGTGAAACAAAACCTAAATAACTGCAGAAACCGTACTCAGGGAAGCAGATGAGAACATTTCTCCTTTTTTATGATTGTTTTTTTTTAAGTGCAATCACCTTTTATTTTCACATTTATTAACTCAATAACCCCATTATACCATACAACACACTAATGACAAGTTTGAAAAAAAAACCTATGAATAAAAGAAAAGCTAAAATCCACTTTGTGCATCTAATAACGTGAGAAAACTGGCTGTGAGCATCACAAGATCACAAACATGACATAATCTGTCCTGCCATGTGTTTGTGGGCAGAGAGCAGCAATTTGGACCAATCAGTGGCCCACACATGCAGCCAATGGTGGGCGAAAACATTCAGCAGTCGCAAATTACTCAAAGGACATGATCTATGCAAAATGCATTATGCCAACCAGCTGTCATAAAACTTTAAATGTGCAGCAAAGGTTTTAGCGTTTCTTCAAATAACTAAAGTAAAAACTAAGTCATAAATGTTTTTTTTTTTTTTTTTATAAAGAAAAAAAAAAATCCAAGTGGGTTGTGTATTTTTAAAAATAAAATGCCTTTAGGAGTCATCTCATTAGTAATCAGTGAACTATCCGTAAATTAATGTATTGAGGCATAAAAGGTTTGTTGGAGGACATTCATGAACAAATTGCATCATAAAGACAAAAGGAACAAACCAGGGAGGTCAGGGTGAAGCTGTGGAGAAGCTTAAAACAGCTTTACTTTATGATTTAAAAACAATAAAGCTTTGAACAATTCATAAAGCGCTCCTCAGTCCAAGGTCAGAATAATCTGATACAACTGTAAATCATCTAAATAAGCTAACAGGCTGTGCGAACAGAGCAATTAACCAGAGAGGAGGCCAAGAGGTGACTCGGGAGGAGCTGTAGAGATTTGCAGATACCGGAGAGTAGCACGGAAAAAAAAAAAAGAAAGAAAAAAAAGCCACTGTTGAAGGAAAGCTAGTGGACGTGCCGTTTAAAGTTGGTCACCAGCCACACAGAGGACACAGAAAGCAGATCGAAGAACGAGCTCAGCTCATGCATGGTGGAACACCAACACTGCAAATCACACTGAACCCAACACCACAATGGGTGGTGGCATCATTATGCCGTTGGCATATATTTGTATCAAGATCCAAGAATCTTAATGCAAATATATGCCAGACATTTCCTGATTTTAATTAGTAAAATGTTTTCACTTCACAATTATGTGCGACTTCGTGATGGTCAATACAAAATCCCAATAAAATAAAGTGTAGGGTTCTAAGGGAGTGAATACTTATGCTATGTACTTTATTTTTTAAACATAATTTTATGGAGGACATTGTGAGACAAAATCCAAAGGTTTTATAAAACATTTAATGAATTAGATTGATTAAATTTTCACTATATTGTGTTTGTTGTATTCACCTAAAACTTTAAGCATCATTTTCAGGGTTCTGGTTTAGCATTGAGACTTTATCCCAACGAAATTCTGGATTGTTGTCAAGGTTACCTCGTGTGTCCCTCAGTAAGGACAAACCCAATAAATCTGGACTTACTGTCCAACTCTCTACGTGAACTCAAACAGACACTTGTGCCCTTAAATCTGTGTCTTGTACATTTCCTTAAGCAAATCCCATAAATCCAGTCTGAGAACAATCCCAGGATGTGTGTTGTGTGGCGGGGCCTGGGCGCGGCTGTCCGGGGTAAAAGCTCAGAGGTGGGGGTGTGGGGGGGCAGTCTAAACACCACAGCTGCAACTCTAAAGTCAGCCCCAGCTGGCCTTTCCTGTTATTTGCCTTCAGACTACACGCCACGTCCTGTGGCACAAAGAGGCGGCCAAACTCTGCTCCTCTCCGCTCCGAGGCGGAGCTTAAAACAAACCAGGGAACTTCCCAGAAGGCCTGCAGAGAAGACTGCGGCGTGTCAGCACACAGAGGCGAGGGGAGGTCGCCGGGGCTCACCTTGTAGGCCTTGATGAAGCGCACAAACACGGGGAAGAACACCGAGGGCGGAGTCGTCTTGGCGCTCTCTCCGAAGTAGCTCACCACACTGTTGAAGGCTTCCTAGAATCGACGGGGAGGAGAGTGGAAGCGCAGTTTGTAAACACTGTTGAGTCAGGAGCAAACAGTGGTTACGTGCGAGACGTCAGAGAGCTGAAAGCGTGTTTTGTTTCCCCCTGCAGCATCTCTTTGGATATTTAGTGTGAGCTTTAGAATCAGTACCTCTGCCGTCTTGGCGTCCCGCTGCAGCTTGTCCAGCTGCGGATCGCTGGCCTGGACGAAACCTTTCAGCACCGGATGGTCATGGAGACTGCATTCCCTTCGGATCAGCTCCATGCCTTTCCCCAGTTCTCGAACGTCAAGCAGCACGTTTTCCAGAGACACTGCACGCAGTTCGCACGGGTCAGCAACGTTAAAGCCTCATCGACTAAAAACTCCGTAAAGGCTTGGAGCTTACTCACCCGCCGCAGCTTTATCCACAAAGTGCAGTTCATTGTAGAAGTTGGCCAGTTCTGTGTACTTCTCCTTCACAATGAGAGCGATGTAGTGGAGCAGAGTCATTTTCCTGTCTGTGGATTTTGTGTCCAGCAGCTGCACAGCAAAAAAAAAAAGAACATCATCAGCAAAAAAACTAAAACTACCAAGCAATATGCTGTTGGCTGGATTTTCCTTGTTTTAAACTCACCAGATCAAGACTTTGCAGCTTGAAGCCATAAACACTCCCACGTTTACTGCTGTTCATGTAGTTTCCCAAAGCTAAGATGATCTAAAAGACAAGCGGAGTTCTAAGATTTTATTCCCCAGCCAAACAAACAAACACAAGCCGCACAAAAGCCACTACGGAAACCCTCGCCAACCTCCAGCATCCTCTTCAGCTTCGGCGAGGACTTCACCGAGCCAGACGCAGCGATGATGGCGTTGAGCTGCGGGGTGAGCATGCTGACGCTGTCCGCAAAGTTCCCGACAAAGGTGATGATGTTCATCCTCTGGGTGAGCCGCTCGATCTTGCTGAACAGCAACATGAAGCGGTCCTCCTCGGCCAGCTGGTCCAGCGGACGGCGCTCGCGCTCGTACTGGCGGAGCACCTTCACCTCCGCCTCGGTGGGCAGGAAGCGCATCAGGCACTCCACAAAGTCCACAGGCAGAGCCTTGAGGTCGAACCTGGAAAAATAGCAGCGCTCATTTGTACCTTGTCCAGTGGGTAACCGTTTTGTTTTGTTTTGTTCAGCTTATTGGAGATGCGTACTTCTCAATTGCTCTGCAGATCTCCTCTGTGGTCTTGTTGGCTTTTCGCAGCGTGATGGCCAGGTTTTTAGACCGATTGGCGTCAAGCAGAGTGACTTTGTTCACCGCCTTCTGAGAGACTTTACTCTTGGTGCAAGAAAGAGCCACAACAGGGCCCTGGGCTCTCGTCTTAAACAACTCCTCGAACCTCTCCAGATCCAGCTCCTGCATGAGAAATACGTCATGCATTCTGATTCTAAACGGATACGAAAGACCCATTTCAAACCCTCCACACTGAGTGCAACTAAACCATTTTCACCTAAGTATTAAAAAAAACACAGAGGACAAAATGTGCTACAGAAGATGATCAGAGGTTCTAATAGCTTTTATGCAGCAGTCCCAACTTTATTTTACAAAGGGTTTAATAATGATTTAGCTCAGAGGAATCTGCCTTTTAGCCACTCACCCAGATTTACATTACCACCACAAATATTGAGCAGGATGATAAGGAAGATGTTTTTTTTTGTTGTTGTTTTTTTTAAATCAATTGATCTGTAACTGTTTCTATCTTCTTACCGCCTCCAAAAACATTTTAAACCAGAATGTTAAAAAACCCCCCAAAAAAACAACATGTAACAAAGTCTCTTCTGGATGTACCTCCAGCACACGTTCATCATCGATCTCGTTGAAGACGGTGCCGTTGATCTGATTGGGCTTCAGGGCCGTCCAGTTAAATACGGGCAGACGGAACTTCGTCTTGATTGGCTTCTTGATCCTGATAGCTGTGGAGGGGGGTTTTAAACACACAAATGATGTTAAAATAGGCTGTAAATTGTTAGAACCATCCAAAACAAAGAACATTCCATTGACCTCACCTGACAGACCCAGGGTCATGATGACAGAGGGAGAAGCATCTGGCAGTGGAGGAGGAGGAGGCGGTGGAACCGGAACAGCTGTTATTAATGCAGAAACTAATATTAGAACAGTATGCGCTATATTTCCACTGATGTAACTTGCTCCTAAATCAAACATGGTCTAATAATGTAAATAACTGAAAACACAGGAAAATGTTTGTTGTTGTTGTCCCCCCAACCCCCATTTCCTGTCTGGGTCAGCTGCACAGTGCTGTGACCCGTCACTTTGCTCTGGCATGAAAGAGCTGAAACCAGATGCTCTCTGAGAGCGTAAAGTAAAACAAGAAAACTTTCACATGCATCACCTGAAGCAGAAGGCAGAGGAGGAGGAGGTGGTGGAGGGGGTGGAGGAGGCGGTGGAGCTTCACTCGCGGGTGGCAAGCTGGTGTCTGGTCCTCCGGGTTCTGTCAGCCCAGCCGAGGAACCGAACATCAGCTGGCCGACGTTCCCCAAAGTGATCCCGACCCCACCACCCCCGCCGACGCCCAGCGGCTCGATGGAGATGTCGCCGTCGGGCTTCTTGTGCAAACGGATGGTGCCCTGCTGCTCCAGCTCCAGCAGCCGCCGCTCGATGTTGACCTGCCTCTGGAACGCAGCATCCTTCTCCTTGATCATCCTCCTCAGGGTGTTAACCTGGGTGTTGGTCGACTCGTACGTCTCCTGAGCAGCCACCGGGGGGCGGTAAAGAGCACGTTATGAGGGCTCTGGCACTTTATAGAAACATCCTGTTTCCTTGTGACCTCGTTTTTTTTGTTTTTTTTTTTCCTTTCTTTTCATTTCAGCTCATCTCAAACAGATTTACTAAAATAGGAAACTCTCAAAGCCACACTTAGGCAAAACGGCAAAAAATAAAAAATAAAAAAATAAAAAAAATTATACCATAGCAACTAGAGCTCACCCGTATTACTTGCAGGTCTTTATCTTTCTGGAGTAAAAGCTTCTCCAAATCTGCAACTTTCATCATCGTTTCATTCTCCACCTCCAGCAGCTTCTCAGTAACCTGAGAAGACGACATGGAGAGAGTAACAGGGTGATGAGAGGGCATCTTCCCCAGCTCCGCTCCCTTCTGGACGCCGCATCATCAATAAGAAATGAGATTATAGCCAGCAGAACGATGCAGCACGATCATGACACAGCTTTTAGTTTTGATTTCGATGGCGTTACACGTGCTGCTCTGGAATGCACCAAGAATCTTCACTCTGATCTTCCCCCACCATTCCTGGCCCCTGACAGCAGGGTTTGTTATGAAATTCCTCAAATGATGTCAGGACTGCCTACGACCTTCTCCCAAGTGAAGGAGGCCTTTAGCGCAGCAGCGTGGGATTGGGGAAAAAAAAAAAAAACACTGAACACAGCGTGGCAAGGACAATAATAACTTTGTTCCTCACACTATTTTCCCGCATTCCCCCCACCCAATTATTATCTCCAACCAGTTGTGAAAAGCAAACACAGAGTAGATTTCTAATTACCACATGAAGACAGCCAAGTTAAGTAGGCACAACACCGGGCACCGAGAGCAGCGCTGGTGGTCCAGACTGGGTGGTGCACTTACATGGGACAGGTGCTCCTCCAGCTCCTCCACCTTCTCCAGAGCCGCGTTTTTCGTCTCGGCGTCCTCCAGGAGGCCACCCACGTCAAACACGTTGTCCAGGTAGGCCTGGATCTGCACTGACAGCTTGTCGCTCTCCGTGTGCTTCGATTTCTGACGTTAACAGGGCCGGTTAGGAATCAGCGGCACCTCATATACGATCTCTGTGAAGTTTTAAATGTTTTGGTTCGGAATGAATGGTTTTCCTTACCTCTAGGTATTCATCAAGTCCCAGCTTGGTGAATTCAAACTGCAAATGGACTCTGAAGTTCATGTCTTCGACTGAGTGGACCACGATGTTAATAAACTGCATGCACGCAACCTAGGCCACAAACGCAAACAGACCGAGACTCCATTTATACCTGGTACTGTGATCTGTATCTGGATAATGACACCAAATCCACGGAGTCTTCCATTAACATCTGCCATTAAAATGAGTTTTTACTTGTGTAGAGATGCCAGTACGAACCGTATTTTAAGTTAATGCCAACTAGAAACGGAGTATTTGATCAAAACCTATGTTGATACTAAAAGAAACATGTAAGGGTAAAGGACAGCTTCTCCTACCATGAAGTCGATGTTTCCCTCCTCGCTACGAAAGTAATCCATCAATCTCTCGAAGCGATGCTTCTCTTTACAAACCTGAAATGAAAAAGGTGCAGCGACACAATTTTTGTGACAAGTTTGTAAGAGAGCAAATTTGTGTCTTTGGCGTTTTGTGTTATGCCACATGCCAGCAATAACAAACAGTCTATTACGTTTAAGTTTGGTCTTATGCTCATTATAAACAATAATTTGCATGTTTTAAATGTATAAAAAGTGCTAAAATGCTAAAATTCACATTAAAAAATGCTTTAAAAAAAAAATAAAAAATTATATATATATATATATATATATATATATATATATATATATACACACACACACTGCTCAAAAAAATAAAGGGAACATTTCACTTTAATTTTGTGTGTGGCTGCAAATCCAGGCCTCCATTGGTTAATAAATTTGATTTCCATTGATGATTTTTGTGTGATTTTGTTGTCAGCACATTCAACTTTGTACAGAACAAAGTATTCAATGAGAATATTTCATTCAATAAGATCTAGGATGTGTTATTTGAGTGTTCCCTTTGTTTTTTTGAGTAGTATATATATATATAATTTATTTTTTTACTTTCACTATCCCTAAATTTATATCCATGGCAATATGCAATACTGTATTTTGAAGACAGACAATTTGAGAAACGTCAATTTCTTTCCGCAGGGAATTCCATCTTCTATGCAATGTTCTTTAATTTTTTTTACAAATCAAATTTAAAGTTAGAAATTTCAAATAAATAATTCTTTTATGCTCATAAAAAATGTCCATAATAAATAACTTTTTTTAATGGACTTTTATTAAACAGTAACCTGCTGTTCTTTTAGAAAGCAGTAGATGGCGGTAGTTTGAACCCCCTGTCCTAGATTCTAGATTAAAAACACACAAGTAGAAAGAAGCAGGTCTCTTATAATTAGTTCAAAATTGCACTAAGCACCTCTTTGAAGTTATCAAAAGCTGAAAGGATGATTTCATGACCTCCTCGAACAAGACAGACAGCAGCAAGGAGCTCGAGGACCAACGCTTTCGTCCTGGAAGTGCAAGAGAATCTCATAAATACAAGACATTCTAAACTAACACTGGAATATAAAGCTACTCTGAAAATTCTACAAAAAACAAATATTAATATAAAGAACATTAAAAAGTTATAAGTTATAATCCACATCCAGTATTAAACAAAACTAGTTGTTTTTTGTTGTACTGATTTTCAAACGTTTGTTCTCATACTCTTCATTATGAAGTGGTCAATCATGTGGTTCACCACTAATCTTTCTTTAGTAAACATTCCTTTTACAGCCTGCAAGCGTGCCTCTGATCCTCGACTTCAGAGAGAAGCCGAGCCCCATAGAGAATGAGGAAGCATATCGGATGAGCTGGCTGCACGGTTTCACCTATTGTTCAGCCCGGCCTGGTTGTGGAGGGGCCCCGGGGCTCCACAGGTTCTTACCGTGGGTTCTTATTGTTCAAGCTGAGAGCGATTTCATTGACAGCATGTGCATGAGACATGACCATATTGAAGCCATACTGCATGGAGAGACAGAGAAACAGACAGTGAGCAGGATGTGGTAAGAAAAAAAAAGAAAAAAAAATCTCTGTGTTCAACACTTGACAGCACAGGAAACGCATCATCCCATCCGTGTCAGACTGTGCACCACACAGGACCGTGCAACGTGAAATGCAGGTGCAGCCGCTTGTATACCTGATAGTTCATGATTGCTCTCAAGCACATGATGCAAACGTGCACATCATCTTTTTGGCTCACGAGCCTCGAGTTCTTGATGGTTTTGCTGTTTGAAACGGATCCGTAGCTGCAACAGATGGAATAAAGTTACAAGTTGAAATCTTCCAGCAATTTATTCGAGTTCATGATTATTATATATATGCATATATATGTATATATATATATAGATATATGTTCCTGCTGGTTGTCTGCCTTCCTAAAGACTTGGTATGAGAGTGGCTCACAGAAAGCGAGAAAATTACAGAGAACAGGGACTGGGGAAAAAAAACAAACTTTTTTTGAGGTCGCAGATGCATTATGGGAAACGTTTGGTTTCCTTTCTGCTGCCAGGCGACCGAAATGTGAGATCACATACACAGCTGTTATGCAAAGTCATCATATGTACAGTACATACACTTTTGCTTCACGCTTTTACGTTAATTTTTTCTGGTCTATTCATTAATATCTCAATATGTACAGGTGCAACTGTGAATTAGAATCAAATCAAAAAGTAATTTATTTAATTAATTAAATTTAAAAAGTGAAACACGTTTATAATAGTAAAATCATTACAAAAACATGTCTACAAAAAGGCTTATTTTGGCATAAATTGGGTTCGATGAGGAGAGGAATATAACACGAGACCCAAAAAATGAAAAAAAGTTTTAGTATAAAAATGTTGACCGACCGAACAATATGGTTATGTAATACATTAGCGGTGGACCCAAAACCCTTGGAGCTCTACTGCACTACTCATCAGTCCAAAAGTCCAGTATTATTCACAACTGACTCAATTCTGTTAACTCGATTGCTTGTGCAACTTTTGTTTTACTGCACTTTGTCTGTCCACTTAGCTCTCTCCGTGTTATGTTTGGATACAGCACTGTGAAAGCTTCTACCACAATCCGTTTTTGCTCTACGGATCATCAGAATCCATCATTGTGCCGACCTTAACACGGGTGGAGCAGAACGTTTCTGTGTTGAAAATATTTTGTCTTCCTTTTTGGTTTGATGAGATTCTGCAATTTTTGGAAAAACCAAATTCTAGGTTTTTGTAAATGTAAGCTATGATCTTCTACACTTACAGAATTAGATGTATTACCCTTGTGTGTAATGAAACTATATAATGGATTCACTTTTTTTAACTGAATTCCTGACATGTAATTATATATTCGATCATATTCTAATTTATTGAGATGCACTTTTTACACAAGGTTATACTAAAGCAGCTTTTATCTAAAATTTTACATTTATAAAGCCTCATATTTCACTCAAATATGCATTCTCGTCACCCCTAACATCTAACTTTTCTTCGTCTCCTTGGTATGCTGCAGTAATGAGGAGTAACTGCCAGACATATGCTGCTGCTAACAGCTGGCTCTCATCTGTAGACGGAGAGGATGCACATCTGGCTGGATGAGCCATTAACAATGAGAGACACAAAGTTCTAAAGGTCAAAGACGCTCAGCTTCTATGTTTGGTCGAATTTATGCACAACGAGACTGAGAAAGCGATAACCTAACCCCATAACTTATCGAAGCAGACTCCTGAGAGACAACAGCCCCGAGACTTGCATGCTAATTCATGTTTACAGCATTCAAGGGGAAAGCACAGAGGGCCAACAGGAGGGTGAGCTAAAAGCGGGGGAAAGTTACGTACCGCAGGACAGACTGGCGGGCAGAGCGCACCAGCGTGTTGCAGAAGGGTTGGGCGCCCGTATGGTGCAGATCCTCTATGGACCTGCTCCATGATTTAGCTTTGTCCAAGAATCCATCCTCCCCATTTTCCAGCCCCTCAAAATCCAACCTGGGCCACGCACAGACAGACAGAGGAAGCCAACAACAGAGGCACAGGGGAGGGAGACGAGGGATGAGGGAGGCAAGGTTAGCGAGGCAGCTTGGTAGAAAGCCAGGCGTTATCAGGAGTACCGAAGGACGGGGAAGCTGCATGATGAAGCTTAGCACAGAGATTCATTTCAGGCAACATGTAGCTCAAAGCTAAACCATGTAGCAACTGTCCAGATGTACATTCGCAGTGCAACAAAGCTTTTAAAACGGTCCAAATAGAAGACATTTCAGATGCACAGGCAGCGTCCCCACAAGCTCTACAGGACGCGGCAGCTGGATTCCAGGCCAATCCCAGTTCCTCAGGAAAGGTTTTAGACCGGAGAGGTGTGAAGGTGTGGGTGTACTCACATGACAGCACACTGGGCAAAGGAGAGGTACTCAACCAGGACATCAAGACCTCTGTTTTCATCATTGAGGAACTCCCTGACCCACCTGTGATGCATAAAAACACAGAGGGGTCACCAAACTCAGGAACACGCCTTCACGCTACACTTTGAGATCTGCTCTTGACATTTTAACTGCACAAATACAACAAACAAGTAAGACAGACAGAAACTCTAGAAAGAAAAGGGGGAATGTGAAAGATTTAAGACAGAACAAAGGCTGCAGAAGATGAAACCAATTCTTCATAATTTGCAAAATGAGATGTTTTAAAAGGCTGTGCACTAAAATGGCTCAGTGCAAGAGTAATGTATTGAATTATGGATGCTATATGTATATAAATACTGTAGCTACAGTGTATGTATGCAATTAAATGCAACACAATCCAATCAAGTGTGTGTGGCAAGACAAAAAAAAATGTTTATAGATGCCATTCTGTCACTACATAGAACATAAAAGTTTTTTTTATAAATTTTCTGTTTTAATTCTTTAAGACATGATAGCCCCTATTCCTGCCATTTCTTATGTGCATGTGTCACATGATAAGGTCAAGAGGAGAAAAGTCTGGACTACAAATTAGCTGCTTTTATGTAGTTCATGATCAGACTCTTCTACAGTTTTATTTGGCCTTTCCTTTCAAGATTACAACTTTAAACAAGGTTGACAGTTTTCAGAGTTTCCTTTGCAAAAAGCTTTGTTTCAATAACTTTTCAGCTCGTCTACAACCCATCAGGTTAAATGTCACACTGCGATTCCTCCAAATTCTATAAACTCTTAAAGCAATTCTTGCGTTACGCCAAAGTATACATGGCAACACAACTAGAGCAACACCAGAGAAATGCTGAGGATATTTTCTGAGACGTTTCCCCCGGCCAGAGAGAAAGAATCGGGGGGGAAAAAGGTCCGTGGAAACAAAATGCTTCAGATTTCCAGGGATAGAAACCAACTCTAAACAAAGGAATTCCCATTGCACCCAGCGAAAGAATGCGGAGGGCATATGGCAGAGAAGTGGGCTCAGGTCGAAGCCCCTGACACTCCACAATATTTAGTCTGCCTCCCCCGCAGACCCCTGCTCAGCTCCTCCCCGTTCTCTTCAGGAAACTTCAGGGGGCAGGATTTGGGTAAAAGGTTCTTAAAATAGTCCCGAAACGCTGGATATGATTACCGGCTGCTAGTCGTCCGATGGATAAGTCGGCCTGAAAACCAATAAAGATCCTCAAATGAAGCGGAGGGAAGGAAGGAGAGAAGGAAAGAGGGGTGAGAAGAGGAGCAGAGGGAAAAAAAAAAGAAGAAAGGCAAAGATCATCAGCTTATTGTCCCAACCTCTGTATCCCTTCTAGCCTGGGACCCCCTCACTCTTTTCCTCTACATCTGTCCAACTATTGCCAGTTCTGATTGTCTTGGCAATGCCAGCAATAACACACAGTAAGGCCCCAGATTCTCTCGCTCTCACACGCGCGCACACACACACGCACGCACACACACACACACACACAGATGTGCAGAATAAACCAACATCTGTTACGCTCAGTCCCGCCCACATAAGTCTACTGAAAATATTTCTCTTGGTTGTCTTTTGTGCTTTTTTTTAATGCTTTAAAACAGATTTTTTTACACTCTTTTTATATGGTCCGAATCAGTAAAAAGAAGAAGAAGAAAAAAAAAAGCATGATACAGTTTAAATGTTGCATTTGCTCTACAATAAACAAAATGCCCACATAGAAAAGTCTCTTTGTGTTTCTGCTGCCGTCCACTGCGTCCCGCTATCCCATGGTCAGCCTGGCTTCCTGTCCTTCTGGCGAGAACAACAAAGCTTCCTGCTTAACAGTGTGGAGGCATCACAATGGCTACCATCTGGGCATTATGAGGACCAGCTCCGTGAGGCAGAGCTGCAGAGCTTGGTCAGTTAGAACAATACGTGGAGATCTGGACACTAAAGCTCTGGGACCGTGTAGCAGCCCACAAAGGAATAGTCTTCACAAAAGAAAAACAGTAAAGTTCCCCCGGCCGCCCCCCCCCCCCCCCCTCAAAGCTTTTAGCACCAGTAAATACAGCTGTGCAATTCATCAGAAGATAAGAGCTGATTACCCAATGTGGTTGGTCCGCAGTGATATCTCCAGCTCCCTCAGGACTTTTGTGGATTCCTGCACACGCCGCCGAAATTTCTGATAAACATGACAAAAACAGAGTTAGCCGCAGATTCATCATCATGACAAACTGTTATTTAATGGGTAGTGACAGATTACACATTGCTTTAAGATAATACTCCACCCATGTACACTCACACATTCGTCTCTGATAAAGCCTGCCGTCTGAAGTGCCTTAAAGTATTCGCACCCCTTTGACATTTTGTGAAATTACAAATACAAGTTTCAATGTTTTATATTTGGATTTTATGTGATAAAACTCAGTAATGTATCATTTTGAAGTGGAGAAAAGAGGAAATGCAGAGCTTTCGAAATCTTTTCAAAAGAATATCTGAAATGTGCGGCATGCATTTGCATTTAGCTTCACTGAGTTTATACACTGCAGAACCAATTTCCAAACTCTAAGCCATTCAATCTTTTACAGTCTTAGTTTTTTGCAGCCTTTCTTCCAGGATTGCTGTGCATTTATCTCCATCCATCAGTTTCCCGCAGCATGATGCTTCCACCACAGGTCACGTCGGGATGGTGTGCTCATTTTAGAATAGAATAGAACATAATTCAACTTTGTCATTGCACATGTCACAAGTACAAAGCAACGAAATGCAGTTTGCATCCATCCAGAAGTGCACTGTTAGTTTTCCTTCACACAGTGTTTTGCGCACAGGCTCAAGAAAGTCGATTTTGGTCTCATGTGACCAGATCACCTTCGTCCACATGATGGCTGAGTTGCTGACATGTAGCAAAGAGCCAACGGAAATGCTTCTCCGTTTATTGCTCTCCTTGCCCAGTCTGTCCCTGTTTAGGACGGCAGCCATGTTTGGACACGTCTGCAGATGTTTCACGCTGTTCTCACTTTTGGATGATTGACTGAAAAGTGTTCAGCGATATGTTCAAAGTGTAGGACACTGTTTGATAACCCAACTTTGATTTAGACTTTACCAGAACTGTCTTCTGCGTTCCTTCCTTGTTCATCATCGTTCTCCAACTTCTGCACTGTCTTGACAGAACAGCTGTATTTATACTGACGTATAGATTCACAGAGACGTGGCTTATATTTAGGGGTATCAGAACACAGGAGGTTAAACACTTATCCATGCCACACTTTTCAGATGTTTATATGCAATGACTTTTTAAATGCTGTTCTTCTATTGTATAAAATAAAAATGAAATATATTGATGATTCTGGTTATAATGTGACAATGGTCAGGCATTCCTGCAACACAAGCTATTTGTAAACAAACTGGACCAGAAGCAGATTTCGTTCCTTAGTTTGTTTAGTTGCTTTGTTGGATTTGCCAAAAGTCAGTGCAGCTCCACTTCCAGACAACAAAGTTTATGTTCCCACCTTTCGTGTGACTCCTGGGTCTAAGTATCCTCTGAGCTTCTGGATGTAGGTGTGCGGGGGGTTTTTCACCTGAAACCTCTCCTGAAAGCACAACAAGGCATCAAAATGGGAGTTTACTCCAGGCAGAGTTGCACAGGCAGCTGTACGCGCGGCATCAGTGCGGGTTTAGGAGGCAGCGTTCGCGTGAATTCACCTGATCGCAGATCAAATCCCACTTCTTCTCGTTGTCGTACTGCCTGAGGAGCCGAGCTTTGTCCGGAGGCAGATTCATGGAATTCTGGAAAAAAAACAAAAAACAAAAAAAACACAGAAAATCTGACCATTAATTTCACGCACGGCGACAAATGTACGTTTTCTCTATTTTGCCAATTTATAGCAGCGCTGTGCAGAGAGGCCTGTGGCGCCAGTAGCGGTACACGGGACAGAATTTTGGACCGTGACCTCACTTCCTGTGTTGACTCCGCATCCTGTTGCAGGAGATGATCTGCATCTCCTCCAGTCTGAGTCTCGGTTTGTTTTTCACCACAACACGCCGCTATCAGAGCCCAGGCTCATTGCCAGACCTGTTATCTAAAGCAGCCGTGAAAAAGGGAAAAAAAAGAAAAGAAAACACTTCAACACCGTAGGAGATGTCCAGAGGCTGCCTGTTTACTGGGCTCAAATTAAACCTTAATTGCTTCAATTTGTGTTCCTAGACCGCACCATTTCAGCAGTTCATGTCCGCATGACAACCGTGGAAGAAGAAAAAACACACACACACGCACACACACGCACATGCACACACATCTATATAGGCTGACTGTATGACAGAAGCTTTTGACTAATTGCTTCCTTCTGAGCCAAATGCTTGTAAACAGGGATAGATGGGGGAAAATCTTAAAAATGAGGAAGCGCAACAATAGGAGGGATCCTGCCAGTGTCTGAAACTCACCGCTTCAGCAGTTCTTTTGAAGAAAAGAAAAAAAAAAAAGTAAGAAGAAATAATTTCATTTTCCTTTTGCTCAATGAACCCAAGGATCCAATGCATGACACAGGCAAAGCCACAAACTGTTGGCGTGACTTCTTAACCTGCAGCTATAATTCAGTCTCCAGACCAGACAACACTCTGCTTCCCTCCAGATGAGATGCTCAGAGACATTTTTTTCCTCTACTGGAAGATTAAAAAATAAATAAATAAATAATAATAATAATAAAAACTGTACATTTGCCGCTATGACAACCACCCCTGTTGTCGAAAAGCAGCTCAACGTCACTTGTGACAGTTTTAAAATTAATTTCCCCAGGAGACACTCGCCTGCTCAGCCTATCAATAAAACATGAGTAATTTTGTTTTGTAAGGAGCGAAGTTGGTAACCAAGGCGTGACTCTGCGGTTTAAGAGCTAATAACTGCAGATTTTCATGAGCATAGATTTATGTCACAAGGTTCTAAAAATATACAGCAACAGAAAAAAAAAATGTATGAGAAGGCTTCGAGAGGCTTTAACTGGGTGGAAAACCATGCCAAGGCGTGGAATATTTTGACTGGACTTAAAGCCTCTTGCAGAAGAGACGGGTGGGGTTGGAGGGGGAGAAGCGACATGCATACCAGATGTTCAGAATTACAGAAGGAATGTGTCCTGTTTATAGTGGTAGTTTATGGCAGTAAACTTTCTCTCTTGTCTGACGCTCTTTCTTCCTCTGCTTCTTTTTGGGGGAGACATGTCACCTCCGGCAGTCTGAGATGGTTTTCGCTCGCAGCAGAGGAGCGGCATCTCCCAACCGTATGTTTCTTTGATAAACCTTCTGAACGGTTTTTTTTAACTGCACTGCTGCCACACACAGTCAAACGTCAACTCTTTTTCCTGTTTTTTTTTTTTTTGTTCTTTTCTTTCCTTCTTGCAACTTTTACGTTTCCATCTACCACTTTATCCAAGTCTGAGAGGAGAGGGTGAAAGGTCAAGGAGGGGCTTAAACCCAGACACACCTCTCACCGGCGATCCTCATTATCTCGTTCCAGAGTCACACTAAGGTGTTTCAAGGCCAGACTGCTTCAATATGATATTAAAGCAGCCAATGTACAAAGGAAGCTAAGTTTAACTGCTTCCATCTTGGATCTCCTTCATTCGGTCAGGATCTACAGTCATATAATGAATTAAAATGTGCGTTCTGACGAGCCTCCTCATTTGTCAGATAAAAAAAAAACAATAAAATCTTCACAATTATCAGATGTTCAATGCTTGAAACATCAGCCTGTGTGCAATTAATTTACATTTGCTTCACTTAGTGAACTGAGATGCTGACGTAAACCAACAAATGTATTCTAATTTATTGAACATTATTATACATCTCACCACCCTTAGACGGTCTTTCTAATGTAGACTGATCCATAAATCGAGAGCTTTTACTTTTGGCTCGGTTCTTTCTTTCCAATGATGAACTAAAGCAGGACTGGGCAGCCCTCTTGCAGCCATGCTTTGGAGGATAGATGTAAATTTAATGCTTGGTGGTCTGGCTTTGTTTATGGGGGCCTGTGTGGATGCAGCCAGAGACAGAAACAGAAACAGAAACAGGGAGCCTCCTTTAAATCTTCACATGGGAACTCCACCATTAGCGAGGCAGGATGGTGACAGACAAGGGTGGAGAGTCTGGGCACAGGGACGTGGAGGTGAAATGTAAAGTTCTTCAAATTTTCTCGTATGATTTTAAGTGAAGTACTGAGATTATTAGAAAACAAAGACAAGGATTTCATTTTTTTTTCCCCGTTTTGCAGCAGCGAAAAACAACAAAAAACATAACGTTGCAATTGAAAGTTCATTCAAGTTTTAAAAAAGGAGCAGATGTTGTGCTAAACCACACAGCGTAAGCCGAGTGAAGATCACTGTTTGGGCTATGCTGGTGCTGCCAAAAACGTTCATTGGTCCTGCTATTACTTGAAAGACGTTGATTAAAGGTTACAGATGGCATCAAAGGTCGGTCAGCTCTGGCCAACATTAAACCAAATCAAACAAAAATAAACCAAGGACAATCGCGCCACACAATAGTTATAAAAAGCACAAACCAGAACCAACATAGCACAATTGATTGACATCAGCTGTGTTTGGTTTAGGTCATGTGCTTGGGCAGGGTGACCTTTGATGACCTCAGCAAGCTTCTATTGATGTCTTTAAAAAGGATCGCAACACAAACCAGCACAAGCAGAAATTCTTATAACCTTCACAAGAGTTTATAGAATGTGGAGTGGCCAAATGTGCAAAGATAAAATCTAACAGGCATATTTTCATGGAAGCGTAACCAACCCTTCAAAATGACTACCACCACAATAACTCTAACACAGCTCTGTTTTTTTTATCTTAGACCAATTCATTTGTGTCATCTTTTATTTCAAAGTCGATTTTTCTCGCTTCCTGGTGTATTCATGTATCCATCCCTTAATAGCTGATGTTTTTGACAAAATCTACGTTTTACAAAATCTAGATTGTGCTTAAATATTAACAACTTGTTCTTCTTTCAACTCTACTGATATTTGAGAACTTCTGGATAAAATACTCTAGAATCTGTCCAACCCTGAAGACTGCTTCCCTTTGTTTTCCTGCCCAGTGGTGCATTCTCAAGTAGAACTGTAGGGCAAGGAAGCAAAGAGGAAGGTCTCCTTTTGTAGTAATTCAATTCTGACTTACTGGAAAACATGGAGACCAGATGCACAGAGAGATACTCATCCATTTGGCAAAGACAAAGGAACAAAGGAAGCATAACGTGTGTATCGTTTCAGTGTATGACTGGATGATTTCACGGACAGAACTATTCATTAGAGGCAAAAACATGGGAGTATTTGACTGACGAGCAATTAGTGCATAATAGAATTTGACAACAATTCAGAGAGACGTTATTATGAGGAGTGATATACGAGGTATTTAATAATGTCTGTGGGAGGTTTTGGTGGTGTAAACAAACACAGGTGAGAGCGTGGAGCCGGAGGTGTTATTAACTCCACTGTAAGACGGTTTTCTTGCAAACAATGGCGGGACAGAAAGCCATAGGAGAGGTTTCCTTCCCGACAAGATTTGGGGAATTTGAGCCAAGTAACCCAATTTAGCTAATTTCATTTCACTTTCTCCCACAGTGATGCTATCTTTCACTTCCTGTGTTTAGAAGGAGCTAAAAGAGGTCATTTTATGTGGGAGAGTGAGCAGCAGCGCTTTAAAAAGTTTAAGATCCATTAGCCCATTTTAGGAGAAAAACATTGCAGAAATGCCAAAAATGTTTGTGCTTGTTATGTTGCCCACGTATCCTCTCCTCCCAGTGCAGCCTTTCCTGGCTGGACCTGAATCTGAACCGTACAAAGGATCCAGTGTTGGGCTTTGTTCTGATTTGATGCTCTGCCATACCCATCCTTTTGACATTTGAGCTAATTTTTGCTACCCCCCACCCCCTCCCTTCATGTGGAGTCACTAACAATAGCAGGTGGGTAGGGTCAGTTTATACCCTGTGGTCCTTTTTATACAGTAAAACAAATTACACGGCACAACCGGACGGACTGGTTTTAATGTCAATTCTCCCACTTAAGCAGAATGAAAGTCATGGGGGGGGGGGTATAAGTTGAGTACTGTTCAACTTAATTTTCCGGACTAATGGGTTAACAGATGATTCAGTACAATTGGTTTGTGGTAGCTAGCTCTTGTAAAGTGAATGAAAAAGAACCCACATCATCTAGACACATGGTTGTTGTGAAGCAAACGCCTACAAGCCGACCAGGTGAGGGTGTAACTTCTAAAGCAGGGGGGATATTGGAGCCGCTAACAAAGGGAAGGTTTCAAAGAGTGAGCAGTTTAAGTAGCTCAGAGAGTCATGTTACTGGTTAAGGAGGCGAGTAAAGCTACCAAGGACGCAGCGGAGCACTTAAGTCACACGCTGACCCCCCGGGTCCCAGCGCAGATATCCGACTCTGCGGGGCAGCGCCATCTGCCTCCTCCGACCGGACAGCCGCCTAATCCGAACTGATTTACAATCAGCCTTGAGATGAGTTTATGACCGGCAGCTGGAGCTAGAAGCCCCCCCTCTAAAGATACAAATGGAGAGGAGTGACAGAACGTTTCCTCCTTGACCTCGAGTGGAACGTTTCCTGATAGAAATACTGTACGTACGTACACTGAGCCAATAGCAAAAACACGACAAAAGCTTTTATGCTCTGCCTTATCCACCCCTGGCCAAAATGCTTCCTCTGTCACAATGTGCGTCTATATCTAATTTGATAGGCTTCGCAGGCTAGACTTGGGTATTGTCGGCTCACTGGGAAAGGAGTGGGTGGCTGGAGAGCTCACCGTGCTGGACAGAGCCGCTGGCAGTCCAGACGGCAGACACTAAAGTCTCTCTGCTCATCAGGACAGAGTCCAGGGAGGAGGGACCAAAGAATCCAAGTTTACTGCGAGATGTATGATTTCTACAGACAATGAACTGAGAATAATTTCTACCGTGAGTGCAAAAGTATTCATTGGATTTTAGGTCTGTTTTACAGCCTCTATCTAATCAGTATCAATACATATCGCGATAGACATATGATCAATACCAACAGATAACACATCTGATAGAATATACAGTATTCAATCTATAGCTTATTCACTTCTATCCAGAACTGCACAGCATTCTGGGGAATGTAGGCAGAGGGAAGACTTTACCCGCTCAACCTCTCACTGTCAGCTAAGCAAGTTTGGTGGTATCAACTAACTCACTCAACTCTTTGGTCACCTAGCAACTCACGCACACGTTTTGGTTACCTAGCAACAACTTGTTGAGTAACTTCCACAGCAGCAGTTTCAGTTTTTGCTGCCGAGCCTCATAACTGCTTAAAAATAAAAGACAACAGTGTGAAGTGAAAACTGTGGATAAAAGAGTTGTGTAACGCCAACAGTCTGGCAGTATTTCATATATTTAAAACAAAAAAATGAATCAATAATTATTGATTTCAACTGATTTGAAATGCTTATTCATCATGCATTTTCAGCCATACTCCATGTGCTCTGTCAGGTTTTTCTTAGCCTGTATTTAACTCCTTCCGTCCTTTATTCAATCTGACCAGCTTCCCTGTCCCTGTTGAGATAAAAGCCAACCCTCAGGATGATGCTGCCACCGCTATGTGGCACCAGGGAGAATGTTGGTGTGTTCAGAATGACGATGATCAGTTCTACTCTTCCTCCACATGCAGTAGAAGAGTACAAAATGTTCAGTTTTGCTCTCGTCTGACCAGTCTACATCTTTGAGCTCATTTTATAAACAGGATTTCTGCTCACGACAGTAAGGGTGGCTGAACAATAAATGCATATTCCACTTGTGACATTTTGTTTATTTCTCTTCCGCGGTGTTGTTCGGTCATACAAAACTCCAATAAAATACATTGAAGTTTGTTTTGGTAACATGCCAAAAATGTGAAGACATCCAGGCGTTGTGAAAACATTAGTAAAACTAATTTTCTGCAGTAGATTAGCTAAAAAATATATAAATTTAAAAACTGTTTCCATTAAAAAAAACAAAAAAAAACAACAACATTGGGGAATTTGCCTGCATAAAAGTGCAATCATTAATCAGTGAGTACCATAAATGAATAAATGGTCAAGAAATAAAAATACTGAAGCATTCCATAATGAGTAATATAAGCTCCGTGGATCTGTATTCCCAGCAAAAAAACCAGAAAAAAGAAGCCAACAAGGAGGCAAAGAAAACAGTAGGAATATGTGGAGCTGGCATGACTATTTAAGCATAATAAGCAACCCTAGAATGGAAAGTGATGCCCAGTCCCCACTAAACCAGAAATAACTGGAAGCAGTTCAAGATAAATATGTCCTTCTGGAAAAAATAACTTCAACAAGCCCTGAGAAGGACAGAAAGAGGTAAACATAGAACCAGCTTTTGGATATTTGCCTGACGTAGCGCACATGTCTCACACCGACTGCACAGGAGACCATGACTCCAGGAGGTGGGGCTGATCAGAATGACCATCACATCTGATATCATTGGTGTGCATCAGACTTTAACGTCCAGTTTTATAATAATGGATGTTTCTGTCAGCGCTGTGTGTTTGGATAACTCCTTTTCCGTTGCAGAGAAACACAATGAGAGGAGACAGGATGGGAGATTCAGCTGTTGCCGTCACAGAGCTGCAGGGACTTCCGTTAACTCTTCAGGAAACCAAAAAGCCGCTTCGGGATTTGCTCTGTCGCAGGGTACGTGCGGATCTGACACTTCCACTGTCGCAGAGAGTTTGTTTTAAGCGTAATTTCAGCGGCTTGTCCAACTCCGGGGTAAGGTCTCGCCGAACCGAAAGCGACGGAGCGGAGTGTGAGAAAACACGGCCCCCCTTTCTTCAGAGCGGACACCCGATCGGCCTCCTCGCTCTTTGGCGAGGTAACCCAAACCGGGCGAGGATAACAAAGCGTGCACACACAGAGATGCTGGAAGGAGGGGACAGCAGCGAAGCACACACTACCAAGCCAAAAGACACAAGAAACAGAGAGCCTCACTCATTGTGACGCTGGGCCTTCTGTACAGACATAAGCAGGATTAAGAAACAATGGTGTAGGTGTTTTTGGGAAAATACAGGACAAGAAGGGGGAAAAAACCACCATCAGAGCACGAATCAAAATAAAACCACTTCATAATTTCTGATTAACTCCCTGACCTTTCACTACAAAGGTAAAATGCATAATGCAAAAGCATCTAAGACTTTATATTCATTGTAATCACACAGAAGAAAAAAAAAGATCCTCAGATGTCTAAAAGTCATGTTCAGCACCTAAAGGACTGTTTCTAAAAAAAAGTTACGTAAGGAGAGGACAAATAAAAGGTAAAATGGCTCAAACTTTCCCTAAACTGCGTCCGTCTCAAATTACGGGCTGCTAAAACAATGTTATATCAAGAGCTTACGTTGCCAGGTTTTCTGTCCTCCGCTAGAGGCAGCCTGAGCGCTCTCCACTATGAACCTACGGCATGTCTCCTCGTCTCCGATGTCTGAGTCAGGCTGCTAAGATAAATAACTTCCAATCTCTTCTTTTCAACACAACCAAATGGACACCAAAAACAACAACAGGAAGGTGGTGAAATGCAACTTCCAGTTCATAAATCAACAACCTCCTCTCAGAGCCCATTTGCTACTCGGTTTGTTAAACTGGTGATGCAGAAGCGATAAGCAGCAATGATAAGTTGGTCCAAACTAAAAAAAACAAAAAAAACAAAAAAAACAATTATCATCACAGGCTTCTTTGAAGGCTAATCCACAAAAGTAACAGATAAAGACTCCTGCAGGGTCCATCTGAAGCCAGAGAGTTTTCAGACGCTTCGAAAGATCCAAGAAAAAAACATTTGTTCACATCTTCTGATCTGTTCTTGAAAACAAATGTGACGTAAAACAGAGCAGCTTAAAAATTTGACATTACTGTTCAATACTGGATGATTTTCTTTCACATAATTTCTGCCTGATCCAGCACATAAAACTTTATTTTTATTTAAGTCTGACTTGTTGATTCAGATCGGCACTTTTTTTGGAATCACTGTAACTCGTTACAGCGAAAAAAAAAAAGTTTAATCCGATTCAAGTGGTAGTTTTGAATCCATCAGCAAATACAGAAGTGACAAGATTATTCTCACTTATAGGGAATATGTTCCTAACCTTTATTTGATTTTATTTTTATTTTATGAAGCTCAAAAATGTGTACACTCTTACTTAAACTTTTCATCTACTACAACGAGTTCCTATATTTGACAGACTGCCAATAGAACAGGGGTGCCCAATATGTCGATCGCGATCGACCGGTCGATCGCAGAAAGGTTTAGAGTCGATCTCGGCAGGTGACAAACTGAACGCCGCCAGGACGCTGAGACCAGGACTTCCTCTTCTGATTGGCTTATCAAAAATATTCACTAAGATCCTAAACGTTTGTAGCTTCATTAAAAAAGAATAATTATAAAAAGTCAACGAAACATGTTAAAATTAATAATCTCAGTAATTATTGTTTCAACAAGGTGTTGCGCAATTCAGTGCGTTTCAGTTCCATTAAAAAAAAGGAGAAAAAAAAGCGACTCAAAGACCGACTGACGAGCAGAGCAGGAGTTTAAATTAGCTACTCAACCACCGCTATGTTCATGAGAGGCTTATTAATAATCGAGAAATAAATATCAAGCCTGGAAACCTAATATCGTAACAGACTGAATGTTGTGTTTTTAATGTAATCTTTGCTCAGCTTGCGGGGCGCAGGCGGTTGCCACGGCAATGGGAAACGACAAAGAGAGAGAGAGAGAGAGAGAGAGAGAGAGAAACAGAGAGTAAAAAGGTAGGAGTGGTTTTGAGTTGTTCGTCTGTTCGGGTTGTTTTACCTTTGTTTACCTTTGCTGTGGCTCATCACACCTGCTGTAGTTTCTGAACGTTCAATAAATGACAAACTTGGACT